AGTCAGATGATATATGTGGTGTAATATGTGACGATATATTTAGTGATTGACCAATCAGAATTAAAGCCCGCTATGTTGACTTTCTGTAAAATTTTTACTTTATCACGAGATGATCTACAAAAATTCGCCAATTACGATGGCCCGCTATGCTAATTTAAACGTTGATTGGATATGTATCACGTGATTGGAACCCTAGATCGCCACAAAATTCCAAAATTTTCACCGGCACGTGATCATGTGTAACACACTGAAAAAATTCTTAAAGTTCGTTTAGTTTTGGGTTAGGGCCTATGCTAAGGTTAGGGTTAGAGGAGCTTTGATAGTAAAATCGCTCAAGGAAAACTTTTTGTTAATGCACAGTAGATGGTTTACTATATAATTTTTCGAGAAATAAGCGATTTTTATAAAACGAACGTTTGTCCTGTTCGTGTTACGTTACACCTGATCTTGAAATGTGAATGGTTTTAAATCACGTGCAGGTGAAATTTTGGTGGGTAGTTTCAAGACATTTCGTCTCTATAGTAAGTCTATGTTACGCTTCAAACAATTTTCATTGTCCACCCGAAACTTTGACGACTGAGCCTTGATTTATCCACTTGCAAGATCTAAACGCCTCTTCTGATAGGTTGTCAGTGTCTTGTAGTTTGTTTGGTTGGATTGGGAGTCCCACACTTTTCGCGTAACACTATTAACAAAAATGGACTTGACTGGTTTTATAAATTATCTCATTCGGGAGTTATTCGGCTTGTTGGGACCAAGAGATTATCTTTAACAACGAATTTTCATTTTCGTTGATTATTTAGAGTTATTGAAAGGCCTTATTTTATCTAACTTTCTTATCCTTGCCTGGTACAAATTTGTCTGACGTTGGAATGTCGGCCCTAAAAAAGTATTTAAGTTTATAAAATTCGTATTATTAATTAAGGATGCCAGCAGGGATGGCATGTTACGATATTGGACATTTGGCAATGCCAATTTTCCGAATAATTTTCATTGGACATTGTAAATTTTTTTATTGAGCATAAATAAAAAGCTTTACTTAGTTCGAGCCAATATTCGCTAATATAAGATATCTCTAATTTACAGTATATTTAAAAAGTATGCTGATAATAAATTGTTATATGACCTACACACAGGTAGAACAATAAATCTTTTTTAAAAGTATTCTTTCAAAAATTTTTTGGCGTGATATGCAACTTTTCTAAATATTTTCGTATTTCTTTCACAGGTAATTTTAAAGTTTGGAAAATATTTACAAGATATTTAGAAAGGTTGCATATCACTCCAAAGCTTTTTGAAAGAATACTTGTCGAAAAGATTTATTGTTTTACCTGTGATATTTACTATTAAAAGAAAATAAAAACCCGGATCTATCGAATAAACTCGTGGCATTATCATTAAATAAGCTTATTCCAGAGGGATAATTTATACTTTAATGCGTGTTAAATGAATTTTCATCATATGTCGCTTTTTAATTACAAAATTAAAAATATATGCTAATTTAATAATATCGTCGAATTAATTTTATTTTAAAAATTTTGCAAATCATGAAACTTTCTGCTCAAAGTTTGATTTCGGACTTAATTCAAGCATAATAATTTTTAAATTTTATAATAAAGTTCGCTCGGTTGCAAAAATTCGTGCTTAACTGGTTTAGTTTTGAACAAGGACAAACTGAAATTGGATGAGCAGGATATCATCCTACACTATAACTACTAGATCTAATTTTCACACAATACTAAAATATTAAGCTTAAGATTCATATCATTGATTTTCTTAAAAGCTATTGCTAAGATTACCTCCATCACTTCAAAACCACTTAGGCAAATAAAGAAAGGAATTAGTTATTAGTAAAATGAAAGAAATTCTAGTTGATTTACCTCGATCTATTTATTATGGAAGGCTTTAGCATAAAACAAATTTGGTTTATATTAACATAAAACGAGCTCGTTTTATGCTAAATTCGCATAAGTTGAATTTATTTTAGGCTAAGCTTAGCATACGTCGAATTAATTTTATGCTAAGCATAGTATAATGGGTCCTTCATATACTAATTGATCAAATTTATGTAAAGTATATAGATATCTCTAGAATCTGTGCCAGGTTATTGGCGTAGTAACCAACCACAATAATCTACACGAATCAAAAAATTTCTACGCATTTTGGCTTCATTGATGCCCTGCACTTTGTAGATTGAATTCTCTTTTAATTTTTAGTTGTATATACTGTACTATAACAGAATCATTATTACGATAATTTCAAAAGTACGTGTAGTTAACGAAGCTTATAAAATTTACGTAGCTATTAAAGTGAATCCCTTAACAGTTAGGTTAGAGAACGCTATTATTATTCTTTTTTGTGTTGGATAGATTATGAAAATCTTTGTTTATATAATTTTTTTTTTTTTTATAAACTGTACAATACATTTCACGTAGTTAATTAGAAACCTGATGAATTATTGTCATTTCTGAACCATAAAAATTTGAAGTTATGAAAAGATGCATATTAATATTACTTTGATATTAAGAAACAAAAAGAGAAATTCTTTTTCGAAAATAAATTGAGCAGAAATAATTTTTCTATACATCTTTAAAAAGTGGCATTTCGTTTTATTAAAATTTATGATTTTACAATTGTTGAATTGAATTTTTAATTGGCGCAAGTTACAATGCGCCATCAAATGAATTTATATATATAGTGTATTGTACTGAGGATAATTTAGTACTGTATTATATGAAATTTTGAAACGATACGATACAGTACGAAAATTCCTATGTAGTGTGTACTTAGTACTGTATTGTATTGAATTTCAAATGGTACTATACAGTATACCACTTATAGTAATGCAATAAACGATTAGAGCCTTTAGTACTGGATTATATAGAATATGAAGTAAAGATATCGATACAGTACATACGTACATGCCAGATACTGTAAATACTAGATTCGCTTATGATATTACAATGTTACACAAATAATTTAAACTACAGTATTATTATGTAATTTTTATACGTATTTATAGGCAAAAACATTTGATTTGTAATACCATTCTTCTCCGTTTGTACATATGAACAAATATTACTAAATGGAATACCAAATTAGTACAAGTCAACCTACTGCTATTAGTTCTGACGATAAATGGGACCTGTTCGAAACAAGTCAAGATGTTTATGATTTCGAGAATGAACAGGGTCCTAATAATAAACAGAATTCTGATGACGAATGGAATTCTGAATCTTCGAATGAAAGTATTCAGGATCCGGAATATCCATCGACGGTATAATTTTAAAATTTAAAAAATATAAATAAAAAAAAATTTTTTTTTAAAATGTTAAATACGTTATATTAAATATAGTGGAAGTTCAATGAACAACCATCAGTATTAAACTTTGATGAAATTACAGAAGAGATTGAAGAAATTGATGAGGTATATATAATAAGCATAATATAAAAGTAGAATTTTAATTATAATATATATATTAAATTTTAAATTTTAAATTTGTGTAGCCCCGATTGGTTAAATTAGGTAGAGTGAATGTGGAAATTGTATCTAAAATTAAATATCGACTTGAATTTGAAGAATATCCAGAGACTTCTGAGGATGGAGTTGCTTGTGTATATAATGTAGCCGGTATGGATACTGAAAAAGCTCTTGAGATTTTTGATCTTAAGAATATTCAGTATTCATATAAAGATGGAACTACTCGTGAAAGTGTTTTTTGTCCTTTCTTAAATACAAAAGTTTACAAAGAAACAAGAACATGCCGTGGTGTTAAAATATGT